CTATACCAGATGCCAGTGAAAAGTTGTTTAAAGTGAGCACACATGGACCAACAGACTGGAAGACATTTTTGAATAATGATACAGGTACAACAACAACAAGAGGATGCTTTCACTGAATTCACTAGTTTTACCAGCGCAGGTAGTGAAACAGGAGAGAAAGTATCCAAGATGACGGTCCGAGATGGGGTAGAGACAGACAAAACAGGTACTGATTGTAAAAAAAAAAATCATTCTTACATTATTAATTTTTGCAAGCAGAAAAGACAGAAAATTTTCACAATCTTCATTAGAGGAAATAGGGGCTGCAGGTAGAGCAGGAGTAACAATGGTGACTAATGGTTGAATAACACCTTATGATTACCTCTGCTCTTTGTAACCATTTGTTAGAAATAGGCAGCCCTCGCATCTCTGATAGCATTATTAAAAGAAGCTAAAAGAAATTCAGTTCACAACATGTACCTGTGCACGGTACAAGCCTGTTGCAAAAACACATCATATGTTCACATTTCTTTAGTTGACTCTAAGTAGATTTTTATGTCAAAGACAACACTTTGGAGATATAAAATAGTATTTGTGCACAAACAAAATGATTTTGCATAAGCAAAACCGGGCATGTGGTGCAATTTAAAAAAAATAAAATAAAAGAGGGAAATGCACAATCACAGGACAAAAGAAGAAGTTGCAGGCCTAAAAAAAACATCAACAGCAGATGAACTGTATCTAAAAGTCCTGTCCTTAAGAAACAGGAAAGACTCTAAAAGACCTCGCACGGGACCTCAAAACTGCATCTGGGCCTTGAGTCAAAAGTTAAAATGATCTCATCAAAAGGGCAGCTGTCAAGCCATTCTTAAGGAAGGGAAACAGGAAAAAAAAGCCAGATGTATGCCAAATTACACAAGAACTGGAGTGAAAATCAGGGACAACAGGTTTTATGAAGTGATGAACCCAAACTTGACCTTTTTTAGTTGATATTGCATGTGTGGAGGAGGTAAGGAAAGAGGTAGAACAGTGGGGTGTTGCATTTCAGACAGTGGTGTTGGGGATCTTGTCAAAACTGAGGTCACAATTAAGGCTTTTTCCATACAGCAGACAGGAAACAAGAGCTGAATGTGTGGAGAGTGTGTCGTCCCCCCCCCCTGCCCCTTTTTTTCACATAACCAAAAGATGTCACACATCAAAAATAAACTATTGGAAATGAGGTAGACATCACCATGCATGTAAGAGGAAACATGCAGAAAGCTTATTATCAACTTCTGGGTAGAAACTGAGAAATTTTCAGGAAAACCCCAATGACGTGTACTCATGTGACTTACTTGCAAATACGTGTGAAAACAGACACAACATGTTTTCAGATCAACTTTCAGTTCCTTTTAATATGAGGAAGACTTAACCAGTCTACCCTTTTCTGGTGCAGAGGTTTTT